TTACGTTCGTCTTAATCATACGAGAGTGGCTCGAAAAGTACTCAAGCTGGTGTATGAAAATAGAAACCCGCTCACTATTCTCTAGTTAGGTATTCAACCGCGTTAAAAATTAAAAATTCAATTTCAAATATTTAATTTTTTCATTACTAAGTTTTAGAAAATAAACATTTTTAAATATATAGTTTATATTTTTTTGAAATTTGTAAAAGCCTAAAAATTGGCTTAACTTCGTTTTGATGATACGAGAGGGATTCCAAAAGCACTCAGCACAATTTATAAATTCAAAATCTACCCCCGATCGAATTTCCCTCCCTGTTGTTTTTTCGGAGAGAGTCACGATTGACTATTTTTTTTTTTGCTCACTATGCTTGTTTTCGATCCCTCGTAAAAAAATAGATATATCGCATCTCTACTTGATTAACACAGTCTCAATTTTTGAGATCAGTTGTTTGTTCGGTTATGAGTGGCTAGATTGATAATACTTCTAAAGAGAGCAAGCGCTGTAACTAAAGTTTTACTAGTAGAAATGAAGTATAAGAAATGAATTGATTACACCATAGCGTAGCCAAGGCGCCAAAAACATATTTCGGAGGTCCATGGTCAGAATTTTATTTTTAGAAGTTTTGCTTTAATCCTTATGATTTGCATAACAAACAGAATTTGCAAAGAACTGTTTGTTTAAAGGTTGCCATACTTCGAAAAAATTATTTACACCGATTTTTGTGCAAGCCGAATTACATTGATGACATTTTATATCATTTTCAGGGACGCGTATCCACTTTTCTCTGAAATATTCACATTTCAAATTGCAATTTTGTATATTTTTGGTAAAAAGGGTTGCCACCTTTGTATATAATATTCACATTTATTACGCAAAAATATGACTTGAATCATTAAGCGACAGCAGCTGATACAGAGAGAAAAGTTGACAATGTGTTGCGCAGCGCTGACTTATCCCCTCATTCACAAAAGCAAAAGAAAAGGCACGACAATTACGAGAAAAATTACAATAAAGTCTAAAGCATATGTGTATAGGGTTTTAACGGTTTGTGTATGCATATATCACACCATTCATCCTGATATTTTTGAAACTTTTCGCATGCGTTGTTGTTATTGTGCTCAACATGTTTGTGCATTCAAAAGGACATTATCTTGACTAAGACAGAAAGCCGAAACGAACTGCTCGTTGTTAAGGGTGCGGGTGTTGAGGTGTTGTAGTTTCATTAAAGCTATACGCAATCGAACATTAATACGTAAGGATTGTTGTGAGTCTACATACACACACACACAGACGCGTGTATAAACAATAACCCCCTAATGCATGTAGGCATGCATATATATACGCCTGTATGTATGTACATATGTATGTATATATTTCTGAATATATGTGTGTATGTGTGAGTGGGTGCGTACATTGGTGTTTCTTACTGCTCCTATGTTGCCACACTTTAACCGAAAAAACCGCAACGGCAGCATGGTGTGAACGCACAATTTGTAAATGTAACGTATACGCCGTGTTGGCCCACTCACTAAGAACATTCTCGCCCAATTGTGCGTTGTGTTGGTGATGAGCGCACTTGGGATCGTTGGGGAAAACTTATCACTGCGCTGGCATGTTGAAAATGTCATAAATGTGTGCGAATGTGTATGTATATATGTATACGAGTCGCATGCGTATTGTACCGAATAAATGACTTTAAGGGACATCGAGTGACTTGTACAGCTTGCATGACTTGAATGACCAACAGACGTATAACAGAAAATGATTCACAGTTAAATTTATTTTTCCTCGTAATACTCACGTATGAAGGTATTTATGTGCATATGTACATGTGCGAGTGTACGTAAATATTTGCACGCCCTTGAGTTTTGTGGAAATCATTTTTGATTATTTTTCAGAGATAATTTTAATTTTTTTCCATTTCATTGTTTAATTAAATTATTAATATTATTTGTTGTTAAATAATTCTGGAATTTAACGCTTTCAATAATTATTTAATTCAACATTAATTTGTACCAGTACAATAAATATACATATAGGGCAAATCTGTGAAGAGGCTAATATATTCTGAACAGCATATACTAAGATTGACGATGTTTGTAATACCCCGCAGGAAACATCGGAGACTCTTTAAAGTGTAGCGAAGTACGCAAAAACAAATTTCAGTGGGGGCTCTTCTGTTCAAATTTTCCATAATTTAAAAAAAGGAATGAGAAATATAAAAACAGGTGTTTGAACCTCTAAAATTCCCTTTTGAGAATGCCCCTGAAAAGGTGAATCGATTTATCCACATCCGTCTGTCTGTTTGCATATAAACGAACTAGTTCCTCAGTTATTGAACAATCAATCCGACCTTTTGTCGGAACCGCCGATATGAGACCACTTATTCTAACTGTATAAACGAGCTATGCTGAAATTCCATACCAGGCGATGCAGGCCTTTTTGTTTTCAGCTCTTTTTTAGTCTAGAAGAATGACACGTGAATACAGTATAGCAAAGCAAATGAAATGCTTGAAATGCAAAGTATTTATCAGGCCATTAAAATGTGATCAATATTTTTTGGACTTCTGAAAAAATATGCTATTTTTTAATAATCACTGCAACCGAAAAATAAAATGAAGCATACATTTAGGATAACAGAAGTATAATTTTGAATGAATATCTTGTGATAGAAAGTTGATGCATACATTTTGGCTGAATATTCTGAGGGAGAGTTCTACAATTTTAAAATAAAGGAGCCTGCTTTCAATCTATCTATAAATTTAAAAAACATAGTGTTAAGGAAAATAAAAAATATTTTGATTTATAAAAAAAAGACATACCCCATTACTAGTTAAAAATATCTAGCTTTTGAAATAATGAAATCTATGTACGCAGGTAAATATATAGATATATAAGCCTATTGATGCCTATTAATTTCGTTTAATTTTACAAATCAACCGAAGGGGAATAAGTTCTCCTGTAATCGCCATGTGCAGGGAAACTGTTACGTTGTATTTGGCTGACGCTCGCTGTTATGCGATAGCTTTAAAAATAACTCACAGTACGCAGTCGAAGCAATGCAAATATTCTATATAAAAATCTAAGTAAAATCGTTATTTACCCTTTCCGTTAATTGCAGCAAATCCGACGGCTTCATTGTTGCGCTTGTGGTCTGTCGGAATGTGCTTTATCGCGCTGTGGCTGCTGCAGTTACCACGGCTGGCACTGCCTTCGCCTTGTTTTTGCTGTTGTTATGCTTTGTTCTTGCGCTTCGCGAGTTGCCAATACAAACCTCTCCGCGGGAGTGGTGCGCGCTGTTGCGTGCGGGTCTCACAGCAAGTCACCAGCTTCTGCGCTATTTTCACGTTGGTATTTTTACGACTTTTCCTACACTTTCGAATTGCTTTCACTGCTGTTACGCGAACAGGAATACTGCGCTGTGCCCCGCTTCACCTACGGCTGCTTTGCGCTCTTTTATCACTGCCACCTACTCAACTGCTTCTGTGGTCTGCAGTATTGCCTTTGCTATTATATAGGTACGTTCTTGCAATATCCTGCCTGACTTGCTGGGCGTTCCACTTGCAGCTTCCGCGCCTGCGTTGGGCGTCCTTAACAGTTGTAACTGGCTTCTTTTCACCCGTCTATGCCTGGCCTGGCGGCCTGTATGTGTGCGCGCGTATGTGTGCCTTCAATTGATTTTATGTGCAGCTGGCGGCGTCATTGGCCGTATTCAACAGTTCTCCACCAGCACTTGGGCCAACACTACTACTGCGACGACGATGATTACAGCAGTGACTGCAACGACGGCAGTGATGATGACAGCGACAGTGACAATGACAACGGCGTTGGTTGTGTTGTTCCTTTGAGTTGCTGTTGCTGTTGCTACTGCCACTCTTGTTTCGACTACTGCAGCTGTTCTTGGCGTTGCTTTTGTTGTTGTTGTTGTGGTTTCGGTTATAGCATTCGTTGGCGTTTTTGAGCCTTAAATTAATCATTTCACATTTCGACGCCCATTCCCAATGACAATTTTGCTATTTTCTGTCCTGTGTACTGTGCGCGTCTGCATGTAAAATGAGAAACTTGCAATTGACATGAAAAAAGCGCCCCCGTGCTTGACAATTTAAAATGAAATTAAAGTGCTAAAATACCGTGAAGAGACGAAATTTCAGTCACTTTATGGGCCTTAATTGTTTAATTTTATTTGACTTTATTTAGTTTATGTTTTCTTATTGGACGAAATAATATTTCCGGCGTACTCGACAATAGCATATTTTTTCTAAATTGAAATTTTTTTCTTCTAATGAAATTATTGTTTTCTAATTTCTCTATTAATTTTATTTTTATTTTATTTTATTTTTTATTTTTATTTTTTTTTTTTATTAATTTTGCCATTAATATACTTTTTTTATAATTATTTTTATGAGAGGTTTATTATTATTTTTTTATCCTCTAACTTTATATCAACCCTTTTTTTATTTGTTTAGAAAATGTCTTTCTTTACTTGTAGCGCTGGGCAAGTGCTTGAGGTTCGGGGTTAATATTGGGTAGTCCAAGAAGTCTGTTCGTATTTCTAATCAAACTTCAACTTTTTTTTATATTTATACTAATATAAAATATTAATAAACAAATATGTACCATTTCTGGTCGACTACTTTTTGCCAATTTTCTGCTAGAGACATTATTCGATCAGTGTAAATCGAAATTTCGAAATTTCCAAAATGAAAGCGACCAAACCATTTTTGTGCTACCCGAACTGTTACAGCATCGTCTCCGTAAACTTCACAAATTTCATTGATGGCTTGGGTCGCATTCTTCCCTTTTTTTTATTTTTTTTTAAATATAGCGAATTTCTTCATTATTTTCTCTCACTTTTTGAACAGTGTAATATTTTTCCTCTTCCCCGAATTAAATTTTTTTGGTTAAATGAAGCTTAAAATCTCATCTTTCCAAGGTTATATGGTAATGTGATTGGTGGTACTGGGGATATACGACTGCAACGATATCTATTGACAATATGCGAAACAACTTTTTCGACTACCCAATATAACACCCGGAAAAATTAATGATTATGCAGTTTTATATTCATATATATTTTTTTAATCAAACTAAATACAGAAACACTTATTTGTTTCTCTTTAAGAATAATTAAGTGATTTTATTTTAATTATATATATAATTAATGAATTAATTAATACTTTTTTATATACATACATATATGTATATACTATATGTATTATTATTATATTATTCTAAAATTAATATTATTTTTAATTTCAGTACCATTACGCAACTACGGTATGTACAAAATTCATATTTTTATCTAAAATATTGTTTATACTTATTAGAGTTGAATTTTTGGTTATCATTGTTTTTGTATTATTTTCCGCCACATGCTTATTTTAATGCTTTTTCACCAATATTCTTGTTAATATTTTTTTAGTTAGACAGGGATAAGAATTCTTTAATTGTTATTTTATTTGTTTATATTTATTATTTTTTAATTTTTATTTTTGTTATTATTATTTTTTCTTTTTCATTTTTATATTTGTTATTTATTATTTTTTTATTATTTAAATTTTTTTTTATATAATTTTTTTACCTCAAATTTTATGTGAAAAAGTTATATTCTAAACATTTGTGCCTTTTTTTTATTATATTGTAGTTTTGAGTTACATACATACATATATTTTTATTTTACACCTTTTTTATTACTTTACATGTTATAGGTATTTTATATACATATATGTACATACATACATATGTATATTTTATTATACGTTTTACTATTTTATATTAAACTCCTTATTCCTTCATTAATATAATTTTTTCGCTTTTATGTATAAAATCATGGCTGGATTTTCACATAAACCGCTTAACATTAAAACTTGAGTTGCCTAAACTAATATTTTTTTTGTCGTTTTTGTAAATTTGCATAATTCCGCAACAACATAGTATCGTCGCGCACCGTAAACCATCTACCGCCATTAATTCCGTACTTTTAAACTTTTTAAATATATGTATGTGTGTATATAATAGTATATACCTTTTCACTTTTATACGTTTTACATTTTTTTATTACACCTTGTTCGTCCTTTATGCCTGCGCGTGTAGTTTAATTTTATTTTGTCCACTAGCACTTCTGCGTTCACCTTCACTTTCACTACATTTAACTTTTTTCACGAATTTCGCCTGACTTCGATTTCGTTCCGCCAGCCTTTCGGCAGCCACGCTGCTGTATTGTTGGTGCTGTGTCTGTCGCGCAACTTCGCTTCCTTTCAATTTTTTTTCTTTTTTACTGTTACTCTTATTAATATGTATGTAGTGTGTATAGATTAAGGCGGGGGCGGCACTTTGCAATCGACCAGCGTTGTAAGCGGAAATTATGCAAAAAAAAAAAAACAATTGTTTAATTAAATCATATGGAAAGCACCCGAGTTTTCAGATTTATTTCTACATTTTTTTCGAAATAAATTTTCACTTCACAAATTTTGTACTTTTTCGCAGCGTCGTTTAAAAAACGTAGAAATACTCCAAAAAATACATAAACACACACACTCTCGCATACCGTATAGACCAGTTAATTGTCTAACCGTTTCTAGTGTCTGCTGTTTCTCTATTTTTCAACAACTGGAATGTGTGAATTGGTCGTCAAATCTGGCCATTTGGTTGGTGTCTATTAGCGCACTGACTGAACGGTCGCCATGAATGACTGCAATTTACCGTTGTGTATATGTCGAAAACTTCACCTACACATACAAAGGCACACTACGCGCTCTCTTTTCTCAACAAACAGACTTATGAGCCGCTCAATTCACACTCTAAAGAGTCCTTGCTCGGCTGTGGCAAAAGCTCCAACGTATCCTGTCAGACGATTAAAACACACGCACAACGTTTTACAACCGAACTGAAACGACGAAGTACTCGAGCCTTAAATACGCGCTGTTACAAAAACAAAAGCACAGACATACATATGCGCAGTAGTATGTGTGTGTGTATATGAGCAGTCAGTTGCTTGCCATATTTTATGAGCCTTAATTGCTTTCGACGGCCAAATAATTTTCAGCTAATATTATATTACATTCACATATGGACATATGCTACTTTAAAGAAATTTTCTATGCACATCGGTTACTTTACTTTACACCTTACACTTTATATAAAATTTTCCGTTCTCGCTTCAGAAAGCAGTATGTGATGTTGCTTTCACTTTACTTATCCGCAATTGTCATCCCTTTTCTTGTCTACTCAAGTTGCCATTTCACTCTGCCTGTGTGTATCGTTTCGACTTCATTGTATCCGCCAATGTCGCTCTGACATTGTGTTCCATTTCCGTTTGTTGTACTAGGTATGCTGCACTGTCATTTCCTTCCTCTTCCCTACTCTACTCGAGAATATCGAAAAGTATGTGCAATATGTGCGTATGAAAAGCTTCATGTTTAAGTTCTCAAACTTGCTCACTCTCCATAGAATTTATAGCCCGCAATATGAACACTACCTGAATGCTGCCATATTGTTATTTCGAAGATTATAGCCGAGTTAAGAACAGCGCGCCAGTCGTTTCTTCTTTTCCATGAAGTGGAGGTCTTCCTTTGCTTCCAACGGCGGGTATTGCGTGAATACTTTTAGAGTTGGAGTGTTTGGTCTTATCCCACGGTAGTTGGCGCAGATTATGGGGTCACCCTATTTGTGGATTGGGCAGAGCACACTTAAATTCCAATCGTTAGGCATGCTTTCGACCGACCATATTTTACGAATATTGACGCCGCGTTTGATTAGTTCGGCCGGTAGTACATCGGTCTCGCCGCTTTGTTGTTCTTCAGACGGTTAATTGCTGGTAAACGGTTATAGGACGGAATAAAACAATGTGTCTCAGTTTTTGAAGACTCCTACAATACTTGGGTTGAAGAATTGATGTGTACTGAGGATGCATATATGTTTTCAAAAAATCCAAAGTCCTAAATTCGGACTCTTAGATGCTCTTGTATGTTAGAACTACATTAAGCCAAATCTTTCCTTAGTGGTGTTTTTCCTTGATGGAATTGTGGTTAACACTTGTGTGCTGATATCTATAACAGATTTATCTATATTAATTTTTGAAGAACCCACATTATTTTCACTTTCTGTTGATCCTCTTGGCGCTCAATGTACGCTAAACGTTCAGCATATCATTAGTAAGCATAAAGCAGGCACCTTTCTTCTTTTTAACATCAGGTGGGACATTTCGATCGTCCATAATAGCTTATCTAATAACTTTTCAATACGAACACTGGCCACCCTGCACTAACCCTCAAACAGATGTGCATTGGTACAATGCAAATGTCTCTCTGCTTCTCTCGCGCTGTTACTTTACTAGAAATCATACCAATTAGCTTTTAGCCTTCACTTTTCGTTATGTACGTATATTTTGGCATTTGTGCCTTCGGCCAGAAAGCTTTCATTCATTCATCCCTTCGTACGCGCTATACACGCTAACGCTAGCCGCTAGCCGCGCACGCTTCTCCCATCGTAAACACCTGTTATCCACACACTCACCTGCGAACACACACAACTAATTACGCACATAACGCTAGTTATTTTACAAGTCATATTGTGTTCGTAGTAGGTACATGTTGCACCATACCAAGCGACGCACTTTTGACATTGTATTAACTAATAAAGAGTGATGCAGTTGCCACCTGTTTTTATTTGCGCGCCGTCCATTTGACATACATAAGTTCAACTTGAGTGCAAGTATATGCGTGTTAGCGCTTGCACTTGTTCGCTTTATCCTCATTTGAACTCACCTCACAGCGACTTAGGGCGCTGTCGCAGACTAATATGAAACGTCAGCCCCATATTTTGTCCCTAAGCAACAAGGCTTATCCGCCGCCATTTGACTTGAGCCAATTGTCCCGGCATCGCAACACGCACATATAAGCCTTTATTCACCGCACGGCGTCTTTTGTTGCACGCTATGCCAGTGTCGCTGTGTGCGTGCACTTTATACTCTTGTGTGGCAACATGTCAGCACATATTTTATTAGACAAAAACAAAACCTGTTGGCCATGTTATCGCACTTGTTCGGCTGCCAAGCCAAGCCAAGTCGTCGACTGCGTGTGTAGAGCACGATTGCATGTAACCCAGTTCCGCCCCCACCACCCTTCAGCGCTGGCCGTTTATTAGTCTGTCATTTTTTGGCAGACTTTAGGTTTGAAATATGCATGAATTTAAATATTTTTAGCGTTTACTTTATGGCGGGGAGGTCAATGGAAACAAAGGAAGCAACAAAGGTGTTATTTATTCATAAGCTTCACCTGCTTAATGAGGGCAATGCAAGCTTACATAATCAAAAATTAAGTCCTGTGGTTGTGGCAATTCGGAAAGAATGTTGAAAAGATTGAGCGAAGGCGTAGTTATTTAAGAAAATAATAATTAGTTTTGCCGAATTAGAAGGTGACGTCTATGATTGATTAGCTATGTTTAACTTTTACTTTACTTTACTTTAAGTCTCAAACGCCAGTAACAAGAACTTGATAGAACGGGAAAAATTTTTCAATAGGCCTTTTATCCTTAGCTTAAACATTATTTTTTAAGTAAAGCGGGTACTATAGTTTGAAGATGTTGAGTGGAAAGTTAAAGAAAGTTAGAAATAGTATTAGTAGTACATTTCTGATATGTAATTGAAGTAGTTGGCAACGGGTTGAGTTGCAAGTTTCGAGAACGACTTTTTCGACAAATCTAATGAGTCGATTTTATTCCAATCTATATAAACGAAGATAATATTCAGTTAAATGAATATCCGTCAGTCTGCCCGCATGTTCTGAAAGTTTTTACACTACCTCTTCTTTCAACGAAGCTGCTCATTTGTCGGAACCGCCGATGTCGAAACACTATAGGATATATCTGACATACAAACTGATCGATCAAGCTCAAGTCCTTGTATGGGAAACTCTTTTATTTGACAAATTTACAGGCACCGTGCCTGGACAATGTTTAGGTGACTCTCGCGCCGTGATGTTATGTGATTTGAAAGTCACGCGGTAAATTCGCGGGAAGCTGGCTTCCAGTTGACTATATAAGTAAGGCAGGCACCATGCCTGGCCAGTGCTTGGGTGACTCTCGTACCGCAATGTTAAGTGATTTGAAAGTCAGGCGATAAATTCGCGGGAAGCTGGCTGCAAGTGGGCTATATAAGTAAAGCAGGCACCGTGCCTGGCCAGTGCTTGGGTGACTCCCGCGCCGCGATGTTGT